TGTTGCCATGTGCTAGAATAAGGGATCGGGTCTGGTGGCGGGTTTCTGAACCCTTGAGGAACACTGGAGTTGAACTTATGACCAGATCCAGAGTCAGCAGGACCAGGTCCAGAGGCAAGACCAGGCCCATGGGCAAGAGCAGGTCCAGTGGCAGGACCAGGTCCAGAGGTAGGACTTCTGGAGCCCTGGCCAGTATCAGAGCTCTGGCCAACACCAGAGCCCGAGCCCGAGCCAGGACAAGAGCTGTGACCAGAGCTATGGCCAAGATAAGAAGAGGCAGCAACAGGGCTTGAGCTGGGGTCTGTGGCACAGGGATTGCGAGGTATATAAGAAATATAGAGGGGCTGATAGCCAAAACTCCCATGGCCTATCTGATGGGATCTAGGGCAGGAAGCTTCCGGAAGACTGTCAGAAGAGGGCTCTGTGAGCACAGAATACGGCCCATGAGCCTCTTTACACAATACAGCTGGAACAGTTTTGGCCTCTAGGGCAGACCAAGGACTGGCCCCTGAAGAAGGAATAGGTTCTGAAGTGGTCTCTAGTCCTTCGGAGCTGGGGTGTACTTCTAAAGATCTGAAAGAAACAAATACATCAAGATGGTCAAAATCGCTGCGAAATTAGTCCGTTGACCTTCCTTGTTCTCAAATCCATGGCTCTTACCGCGACCGAGATTCCTCCGTAGACTCGGTCGTCTCCATTTTTCAAACTCCAGCTACCGGGTTGCCATAGAGACGGCCAACAACTCCAGGAGACTGCGCAGAGCTAGAGCTGGGCGGACCCGCAGTGGCGGGTAGGACAGAAGATAAACAAACGCTCTCCAGGGGGCGGAAGTCTTAGACAAGGTGCTCTCCAATAGCCTCAGCTCCATTCTGCCTCACCTGGGCTTTTAAGGTCTCACTAGCTGAACCCTTGCCTCCATGGCCAAGTTGATTCGTTGTGACTAAGGTGTCTTATGGGGATGCACGGAGACAAGTACAGATGGGCATCAATACGAACTCTTGTTTGCTTGGTTCATTCCCTAAGTTGGGAGAGCAACGGTTTTTTTTTTTTGTTTTTTTTTTTAACAGTTTAAGGATGAAAATATATGAAGTAGGGCCAGAGAATGCAGCTCAGTGGTAGGAGTCCTTGTTCAGTATGCCCAAGGTCCTGGGTTCCATCCTCAGCACACATAAATAGAGATAACAGCAAAATGGAAGGGAATATGGTACAATAGATAGTCATCCAAGCAAATTTCTACTGCAAATTTCTTTCTTTTTTCTAGAGGCTTGACCTAGACTGGACCATTAGAAACCAGCAGATCTACACTACGCACCCCTTTAACCACCAGACTGGGTCGTAGGATCTTTTATTCTGACCGTGGTCAAGAGGGCTTATAGCCCCGAATCAATTTCCTTTCACCTTTGTGGTGTAAGTCCGTTACATATTTAAGACAGGAATGCAAAATTGAGGGAGAATAAGTTTATTCATGCCACAGGATTTCTTTTCTCTCTCTTCACCCACGCATCCAAGTCTGTGGTCCTGGGTCAGCTGGCAGGTTTAGCCAGGTGGCCACTGCAGCTGTCGGCCTCCAAGTACGTGAATGTGCAGGTGATACACGGACTGTGCGCCCATCTTCCCATCATTGACCACTGAAATGAGCTTGAGGTTAGGGGTCGGGGTCACTGGAGAGGTCAAGGGCTAAAGAGCACATTGAGAAATGGGGATTCATAGGTGAGGAGACCAAAAGACAAAATTCACTCACCAAGTCGATACCCATCTTTCAGACCCTCAGCCTTTGCTGTCTTCTTGGCCACAAGGAGTAAGTGTCCTAGAAGCTACAGGGAGAGGAGAGGGACAGAGCTAGCTCCCTTCATAGGAGTCAAACCTCCAGCTTAATCCAGGCCCCTCCCAGACAGGCCCCCGGCCCTCTTCTCCCCACCTGCTGGTCTTCTTCTTCAGCCTGGCTAATTCGAGGAATGGGCTTCTTAGGAATGACCAGAAAATGCACAGGAGCCTGAGGGGCCACATCACGGAACACTAGACACTGGAAGCAGTGACAGGTGAGAGACACTGTTACTTCATCAGACCCAACGGCACCCATGAAATGCTCAAGAGGCTTGGGCCCCATGGGGATGTTCACCTGCTGATCCTCATACAGAATGTCAGCTGGGAGGCTGCGATCCAAAATCCGGGAGAAGATGGTTGGCGCGGCCCCTCCAGGAGCAGCTTTCTGAGCCCTGGCCACTTCACTTCCGTCAGTCATACCTGCATTGCCCCGGACCTGAAGTGGGGTCGGGTGAACCCAAGGGAGAGAGCTGGCTGTCATTTTCCCATGCACTTAGCTGGGGCTGGCAGAAGCTGGGCTCCAAGAGTGTCTCCAACTCCATTCTTCTAAGAACCTATCAGTGGTTCCACGCTAGGGCAAGTCCCTGAATTTCAGAGCCCGAGCAGCAAAGGGTGGGCCGGATGATGGTGGGCCCGGTTATAGAAAACGCAGTAATTACTATGTAGGATTTAGGAGTGCAATTGATTCCTGCAAATGTGATTAAAGAAATCTAGCATGGTACAGGTAAAGGGACCCAGAAATCTGTAACTCCAGCAGCTGGGATGGGGAGGCAGGAGGATCAATAACTCGTCATTCTTAGCCACATAGGGAACTCTAGGCTAGTGTGGGAGACATAAGACACTATCCCCAAAAGCCAACAAAACAACATTGAGGTCTCAGTTCTTATGCTACCATTGAATACATCAGATACATCCCTGAGAGCTTCAAAGAATGGTTTGAATCCTGTCCTGAAAGCTTGAAGCTTTTTACTGTGTTTCCATTTGTTTCTACTGTGCGTTTTCTGCTCTTTTAACCTTGCTACTTGATTTATGTTTTTAATACATTTGTCCTATCTGACATTGGCTGCTCTTTTGTTTGGGTGTCACATTTGATTTCTTATCGTGCAGCTTTCCTGTTGTTGCTATGCAGGCCAGGCTGCTGAAGCCCTGGTAATTCTGCTGCCTCAGTCTCCCAAAAGCCGGGATTATAGGCATGTGCCACCATGCTCGGCTTCTTACATTGGATTTTAATTCCAGTAACTTGAATCAGCGGAGTTATGTAAGAGTTCAGCTAAGTGAACTCGGCTCTACCGGAGGGGACAGGGAGGAGGTAGGACTACCCCAGTTTCCCACCGGTCCAGAGAAGGCCAGAGTCAGTGCTTTACACTGAAGCGAAACTGTGGGATACATTAATTCACTGTTGGAAAATGTGGAAGACGAAAGAGCAATGCTGGCGCGCATTTCGCGGCTAGAGCTCTGAGAACAGCCAGCTAGCTCCCAGAGGGAGAGCTCACTTCCTGGAGGGGGCACGGCAGAGGCAGGCTGGAGCACGCTCCCGGCCAGCACCACCAGCTCGGTCCCAACCGGGACACCACCAGCTCGGTCCCAACCGGGATGCCCCGGCTGTTCCGGGAAGCGGTCGCCGCTAGATCGCTTCTCTCGCGGAAACTGACCCTCGGGAGAGGCAGTGGCTCCGCAAGGATGCGCGACGCGCGTGCCGGTCCCGGAACGCGCCAGTGCCTGCAAGCCCCCTCGTCCCTCTGGCTGCTTCTCACCTGCGCCCCCCGGGGCCCCACGGCCGCCAGGGTTCTGCGCGCGGTGCGCAAACCCACGGCCAGCAGCACGGCGGCAGCCATCTTCCCGGAGCCGGCCGCCTTGCAGGCGCAGCCCCATTGGCCGCGTCCGGCTGGGGGCGGGTCCCGCCGCGCAGCCCATTGGCTGCCTCTGCCAAAGCAGGGCCAGTTTTTGTCTAGTAGCGTGAAAATTCTTTTTCCATTGGATCCCTACTTAGTTTTGCTCTGAGATACATTCCCACTCCATTGGAAGAACTAAATCCCGGGGTGGGATTTTTTTCCTAATGGGCTCAGGTTCACCACCTTGACCGAGCTCTGGTGGAGGTTCCTGAGTGGGTGGGACTTGCTCGTTCTCGGCCTGTCCCTTTTAGCTCTGGCACTGGTGGGGGGAAGAGGGCGGGGCCTCGCCACGTGCTGCACAAAAGGCTAAATGTAGCGCAGACTCTGCTCCGCATTGGCCAGGAGGGCGGGGCTCTGAGGACATTCGGCGCTTATTGGCTCCAGAAACCACATGGGCGGGGCTAAAAGTGAACTGGAACCAGGGCTTTTTAATCTATAGGATAGGTACCTATTTTTATTATTATTATTTATTATTATTATTATTTTATTATTATTATTAAGATATTTTTCTATTTATTTTACATACCAACCACAGATTCCCCCTCTCCTCCCTCCAACCTAACTATTTCTTATCAATTTCAGCTCTTTGACCACTTTAAAGATTTAAAACATATTGTATGAAAGTTATTTTTTAAAGTTTCAGTCAATTTGTTTTATGTTCTTGCTCCCACTTACATCAATATTATGCAATCAGTTTTCAGGGCATTTTTTCCCTTAATCGGGTGAGGACAGGAGCATCCTGTGTATACTATACTATGTATTACAGTTTTACTTTCCTTTTCACTTCATAAGTAGTGTGTAGTGCCATTAGCTCTGTGAGGCAGTGAGGCAGGTTTGCTTTGCATACATACAATTTTTTTTATTGTATATGTGTTTCTGCCTGTGGATTATGTGCATGTGAGTGCAAGTGTGCACGAGTGCTAAGAAGGCATAGGATGACCTGGAGCTGGAGTGATAGGCTGTTGGGAACCACCTGATGTGGGTGCTGGTAGCTGAGTCCCAGTGCTCTCCAAGAGCAGTATGTGCCCTTAACTGCTTAGCCATCTCTTCAGCACCTAAAGATTTATGTTCATGTGTGGGTATGTGCAAGCCTGCATGGGTGCAAGAGGGTGTCAGAGATTCCTTAGAGCTGGAGTTACATACAGGTGTTTGTGAGCCACCAGATGGGAACCAAATTTCAGTACTCTATAACAGCAGCAAACACTCTTAAGCACTAAATCATCTCTTCATTTCTTTATAGTGTGAAATAAGAAACAGGGTATTCCACTTGAGAGGCAGAGGCAGAAGAATCACTCATGAGTTCCAGGCCAGCCTGGTCTACATAGCAAGGCTCAGTCTCAAAATACATCAGTATCCCCCCAATACTCATCACCTGGTGAGTTATAGCCTGGCACAACAGTGTAAGTTCCCCTTACATCTTTAGAGCCTGGTTTGGTTTTGCACGAGGCCTGGTATATAAATGCCCAAGAACTGCTGAACGTTTGGTGTTTCACTGTCCCACTTTCTTATATATTGTAATAAGTGGCATGTTTATTATTCTCTTATATTTTTCAAATTAGTATAGTTTACATACTGTGCAATGACTACATACTGTGTCCCCAGTGAACCTGATCACAGTAACTCTTCTATTAATTGAACTGTTTTTATATGATTATCACAGCACATACAATCAATGTTGAGGAACTCCTGGAATTAGCACACTCTCTTTCACACAGACATATTGTTAGAAAGCCCTTTCAGTTCTTCCCAGGGTGGATATGTGATCATACGATTTTGCCCTGGGGTCCCTTTGCGAAGGCAGATGGCCTTTCCAAATATCAGGAAATGTGGGGTCACCTTGCCCCTGAGCCCCAGATGTGAGACGCTCCAGAGAAGGGCAAGAGATCAGCGGAGCTGGGATGAGAAGAGGGTAGAAATCTAGGAAGCACTAAGCTTTGAAGCTGGACATTTCTTTGGGTTTTCATAGAGTGCAGGCAACACAGGTTATTCCTATCTTAGAGCTCTAGCAACTGAGGCCCCCAGAGGGAACCCAGCATCACAAGCCCGCCAGTGTCAGGCCGTCCCATGGCCATAAAATCACCGAGGGAGTTTGGTCACCCCCTGGCATTCACAGTTTCACTCTGACTACAGCCGCTTTCTTCCAAACACTTGCCTCACCTGCAGCTACTCCCTGAACGCTGCATGCTTTGCAGACCCCAACCACTGCCTCCTGAGTTGCAGTCCATGCCAGCACAGCTGCTCCCGAGCCCCACTAGAGATTTCTTATTCCTCTGATAGCACTCGTTCCCTGGCATCACTTCTTCCGGTTGTTTCTTTTGCCTTCTTTTCCTCACTATCCTGACACCATCCCATTAGTCTAAATAGTTTTGCCTCGCTTCGCTTCTCTAAGCGGATTCTCACTTTCAACCACACTAAGTCCTAAACTTTGCTCTCGCATGATTTTCTCTGATTCCCCACAAGCCTTCCCCAACACTCACCTGTCTCTTCCAGTCTCTTACTCCCCACTAATCCCTTTCTTGCTTCACAGAGGATATAGATGTCACCAGAGGGGAACTTCTGGGAGGTCTACTCCCTGCAGCTCACACTCCCTTCTTTGAAATGTCTTACGAAATGAAGTTTCTCTTCATCAGAGCAAATACCTTCACCTCGGCCTTGACCTCATTCCCTCCTTCCTCCATGTCTGGGATCTTGTCCCATCAAGTATCTCTCCTCCCTTCTGCATCCTTCAGGATCTTTTTGTATATGGGCCTCTTCCTCCTTGCCTTCTTAAAAAGTTGCTTCCTTGATCTACAGCCTGGGTACTGTCTGATTTCTTTCTCCCACTTCTTACCCAAGCTCCTTGAAGAGACTCCTTCAAATTCATGGCTATTTGGTGTTTACCTCCACCATGCCCATGTGCAACCACGCCGTCCAAAGCCTCCAATGACTTACTAATGGCAGTGTTATGGAACATAGCCTTATGGAACCCCAGCTACATCTGAAATCCCTGCCTATTCTATTCTTGAAAACTCTCCTTCCTTGGCTCTCTAGAAGCTACTCTCCTAGTGTCAGGGCCGGCAGCTTGGATGTGGCCATGACAGAGGAAGATGGTTGGAGCCAGCCTTCCCTCTGCTTGGTGCTGTCTCTTGCCTATAGTTAGAGCTGACTCTAAATTGAGTCTGGACGCTACCTGTCCCATAGAGAGCCAGGCCCGATTCTATTGGCTTCCACTTTATTGTTGATCTTGGCCAGGCTCAAAAAGGCCTGCGCCAGTTGTTGACAGTGTTTGTCCCTGGAGGAGGGAAGAGCAGAGGTGAAAGGGTCAGGGATGGGGGTTAGATTTAGGGCCAGGCTGGAGGTGACTTGGACCAGGGGGTGCAAGGGATCTAGGGTGAGAGCTGGGGTGGCCAGAGACACCCTGCATCTGGAGGGCCTCAAGGTCAGAGTTGGTGAGGATGGCATCTCGGAGGGCAGGCATCTCTGCAAAAGGCACATAGTCTGCTCCTGGGGGTGGGAAGCAGTACAGGCGTGGGCTGTGGGGCGGGCTGAGGGCGGGGGACCTGGAGAGGATGGGGCGAAGGGTGGGAGTGCCTTTCTGCCTGGCCTTCTGATTACAGACGCCAGCACGGCCCCCCGTCCCGTGTTCTCCTCTCACCATAAGGTCTCCCTCCTCTTCGCCTGGTCTCTTCATTCTCAAAGAAAGTCTCGTGTTCCTCCCAGCGCCGGTCACAGGCCGCACAGAGGAAATTCGACTCAAAACAGCTGCAGCAACAGCCTAGGGCAAAAGCGCACCCAGGAGACTATAAGGAACTAACGGCACCCCCGGTGAGCTGACACGCTCTCACCTGGTCTTCATCCTATATTCACTTCTCCCCACCCAAACACGCCTTTGCACGAGAAGTTACCACGGTGCCTGCAGGGGTGAGCTCCGGTGGCTGCGTGTTCTTCGTGAGTATGTTTACAGCGACATTGGGCTCTCCAGGCTTTGGGATCGAAGGTGGCCCGTCTCTTAAGCCAGAACTCACCTACCTCCTCTGGGCGTGACGGGATGAAACAAAACATGAGGCACCTACATTGACTCACACTGCAGGGCACCGACAGATCTGGGAGGGTGGGGATGGTGGAGGGTTAGACCAGCCCCTGGAAGGACCTGGCCTCCCATCCGTGTTCATCTCTGTCTCCCCCTCCAAGACAGGAAAGAGTACAGTAGCCCCTTCGTACCTGACAAGTATGGCAACTTCTTTCCTACCTGAGATGATCTGGTGTTCTTTCAACAAATGTCCACAAAAGCATTTGGACTCATCTCCAATCCGGAAACAGTCCCATAAGTAATGGGGGCAGCGCCAGCCAATATAGAGACCTACATATGGAGGGATTAATGGGGAAAGTGAAAAGGAAAAATAAAACCTCTAAGCCCCCTACAAGTGTTCTGAGGGATCCCCTGGAGTGGGGGTGGAGAACTCACCACCATAGCCTGCTGTACCTGTCTCTACTAGGGAGCCCTCACTTCTGGCCCTGAGACTTTTTTCATTCAAGTTTTGTTATCCCAAAGTGTCGTCAGTTCCCTTCCTATCCCAGGATTCACCCCATGTCTGTCAGCCTAACTGAGACAACCGAAGGTGGTCTCCAGTTTCAGAGCAGGGAGACTCTAGAGGACACTGAGGATGAGCACGAGGCTCTGGGGACTGTCGCAGTGTCTTACCTCCTCCCAGCTCCATGCTAGAGTCCAACCTTTCTCAAGTGTTTATGGCAAGCAAAAGAGAAGCTAAGTGACCAGGTGGACAGTAGGTGATGGGAATTGGCTCCCGTTGGGAATTACTAGTGAAGGACCCTGGAGGAAAGGTGGAAGTTGGGCCGACTTGGTGCCAGGAGCTGGGAGGATGCTTGCCCCCTTACTCTCCAGGTTGACACCTCTGCCAACCCTTCTGTGTCCTACTGTTGGGTAACTAACACCCTCTGTGATCCTGACAAGGGTGGCTGATGGCTGACGGCTCCCCAGAGATCAGGAGAGAGGGCCAGGCCAGAAGTCATAGCTGGAAGAGCAAAGGAATCTATGTGTCAAGGAATGGAAAGGGAATATGGAAAGGAAGGTGAGGCTAGTGTTAAACGCAGGCACTAGCAGCTGGCTACAAGATCCTGGCTTTAGCGGTGGGGTCGGAAAGGATCCAGTTTCATGGCCGGTCCCATCACAAGTCAAGGGCAGGGCTAGGCAGAAGTGACAGGCGAACTGGACAGCACTGTAGTAATATTTTGTGTATGGTCTAACAGATAAAGCTTGCCTGAAGATCAGAGGGCAAAGCCAGTCACTAGGTAGCCAAAGAGGCCAGGCAGTGGTGGCATACACCTTTAATTGCAGCATTAGGGAGGTAGAGGCAGATGGATATCTGTGAGTTCAAGGGGACTGCAGCTGTAGGACTCTTATGCCTGTTAGAGGTCTCAACAGAAATGTCACCCCATTCTAAAAGTTGTCCCTGGCCTCCCACAAGAGAGGGGTCTATAATCTCATCCATATCGCTAATCCTGCCATAAAAGAGATGCCAGAGAAGATAGACTGCCTGACTGAAACCAAACATGTTCCTTTAGTGGCATAATCCACAACTGTGTGTCTCAGGCCAGGTGTCCTTATCTTACCCATAGTTCCTAAGGTTCTAAAACTTGACAGGTGTGCCTTTTGGCTTGGATGCCTCCAGTGCCAGGACCCTGCTGTACCCGGAATGTTTGGTTGAGAGCACAGGGAGAAGCACAGTCACAATGGGTGTGTGGGAGCCAGGGCTCCACTAGAGGAATTCTGAACTCTCCAAAAGCGGAACACAGTGGCTGAGCAGGTGATGTGCAGATATGAACCCGAGTCTGCCTGGAGATCAAAGCTTGGCCAGTCTGAGCATGGACTTGGGAATCAGTGTGTAGCATTCAGATGAAGGGTTTGAATAGAGCCTGGAAAGAATACCTCAGATTCTATTATTCTATTCTATTCTATTCTATTCTATTCTATTCTATTCTATTCTATTCTATTCTATTCTATTCTAGCCTAGCCAGCCTAGCATAGCCTATTCTGTACCCTTAAAGTTGTGAAACTGGCATCTGGCTCTGGATTCCACTTTCTGATTCCAAACTCTCTTCCAGTTAGAAGTGGACTAGGCAGGCAGGGAAGACATTATCTTGGGTGCCATTCTGACTCGGTACAGCTGCACAGCCATGCTTGCATATCAACTCTTGATTTCTAGAAGGTTTCCATACTGCATACAGCTGTCTTTACATGAAGGATGCCTCTCCATCTCAGACCTCTCCTGGGCTTCAGAGTCACAGGGCCATCTTTCGATTACATTCTCACCAGCATGTTCCATTAAACACTCACAGAGTTTTCACCTCAAAACCTCTCAACCTCTGTCCTCGGTTTACCAGGTTTGTATGTCCCCACACCCTGCTCTCACTTCATTCAGACAAGCCAAGAACCTAGGTGTCACTCCAGGTATTGAACACTTCTTAACTTATCCTACACACCCGGTGATCCAATAGTCAGTTTTGCCTTGTCAGTGTTTCCTGAACCTCTCCATCTGTCTCTCCATCACCCAGCAACTTCTTCCTTGATTATTACCAGTGTTTCAGTGGCGTCTTCCTGTGTCCAATCTTGCCTTCTCCCTCTACTCTACTGCCAGAGTGATCATGTAAAAGCACAAATCTGTTGGTTGCTGTCCTATTTTAAATCATCTTGGTGATTCTCAGGTGCCCTTGGGATAGAACTATGACTCCACATTGGCACAAAAATACCTGCGCACATTCTTGCACAAGAAAAATACTACTTACATTCTCGCACAAGAAAAAACACTACAGTTTCCTAAGATTCCTTGTCTTGTCATATCTCTTTTATTTTACTTAGAATTTTATTTTGATGGGCTCTTTTTGTTATGCAGTCCAGGCTGGCCTGGAACTCACCATGCAGACTGTGATAGCCTCAAACTTGTGATCCTCCCACCTCAGCCTTCCAAGTGCTGGGCTCATGGGCGTGCAGCTCCACACCCAGCTTGACTATCTCTTCGCACCCTCTTACAGATAAGTAGCTTCAGCAATCTTCCCTTCCAATGCTTACTATTAGTCTAGTGCCCCCAAGTGGGTGCCTCTTTCCTCTGTCTCTGCACGACTCTGGGCATAGCAATTTGTTGCCTAAATTATAATGGCCATTTTACTTAATGGCATTGCTTATCAGAGAGCATGTTGTCTGAGGGATCTTTGTTATTTATTTTTTGAGGCCGGTCTCCCTGTGCAACTGAAGGACAAGCTTTATCCTTGAGACCTTCCTTGCCCCACTGCTTACACAACTAAAAAAATGCTTGGCATATAGTTGGTGCATAATAACTGTTTGTTAAAAGAATTTTAGGAAAATGTCACATTTCAAATTTCTCTGCACATCACATATATTCTTAGGGAGTCTTGACTCAAGATCTTCAACATCGGAAGGGACAGACCCCAAATATTTTTGTGTAGGATTGAGTACACAAACCACTTGTTTAAGCAGGAAAATGCAGACATTTAAAACAAGAAGAAATACAGAAGTCTTGAAGAGTAAGGAGTGGGCAGGAGGATCTAAAAGAGTAAAGAGGAGACTGGACAGAACCTGCATTTGCAAGAAAAAAACAACAGTAATAGATGTTAACATTTATTACTAAATGTTAACTAGATGTTACTAGATGTTAACTAGAGCCGGGTGGTGGTGGTGCACGCCTTTAGTCCCAGCACTTGGGAGGCAGAGGCAGGTGAATCTTTGTGAGTTCAAGGCCAGCCTGGTCTACAAAGCATGTTCCAGGTCAGCCAGGAATGTTACACAGAGAAACCCTGTCTTGAAAAATCCAAAACCAAAACCCAAACCATAACTAAACAGAGATTTCACTATCAGTGGAAACTTAGAAACAAATAAGACTTAAAAAAAATAGAGATGAAGGGGAGAGGTTCCCTACATGGAGGTGGAGTAAGTAAATTACACAAAGGAGAAGAATATAGGATTTTCTATTGGCTTTATATCTTAGTCCTATTGATGTAGTTCCATCATAAGCAGAACAGAAGTACAAAAGGCTTGAGCAAATGTAATACTTTCTGTTTAATTCAATAGACAGTTCAGAATCATAGAGGATCAGAGTGGCCTTCCTACTGAGATTAATAATGCTTACAGATGGTGAAACCCAATAACACAGGTAGACATGCTTATGTGCAGTGTGCCATGTGTTTACACAGCTCATCTGCACACCCATTACAGAGGTGCAGCTTCCACTCACAGGAAGTATGATTCCAGGAGTATAGCTCAGTGGGTAGTGTGCTTGTCTAGCTTACACAAAACCCCAGCACCATGTAAAACCAGCTGTGGTGGCACACACATGTAACTCTAGTACTCAGGAAGTAGAAGCAGGAGGTTCAGAAGTTCAAGGTTATTCTTTTTTTTTTTTTTTTTTTCGAGACAGGGTTTCTCTGTGTAGCTTTGCGCCTTTCCTGGAACTTGCTTTGGAGACCAGGCTGGCCTCGAACTCACAGAGGTCCGCCTGGCTCTGCCTCCCGAGTGCTGGGATTAAAGGCGTGCGCCACCACCGCCCGGCCTCAAGGTTATTCTTAAAGGCCATCATAAACTATATCGGAAGTTTGAGGCTAGGCTCATGGCCTAGGCTACATGAGACCTTGTCTCAAAAGAGGGATACTAATTATGAGCTGTGACTTGAACTCAACAGGGTTTTAGGATTATCTTTCTTCTTTGGCGGGGACCCTCAAGGGTTTGGGATACTCAGATGGTCATTTAGAAGTGACAGTCTTTAATGGAGTCGAGGGACCAAAATCTTTTGCCATATCCATATAGAACAAGGCTGCTAGAGACTGCCCAAGATTCTAGGATTGTTCTGGTATAGACTGTTCGGGTGCTAGATCTGGGGCTGGCCCTCAATTCTTCTGTTGATAACAATGTCAGTTACTTTAATACATCTATCTATTGCTGCTTGGACTTCATATGAAATCTCCACTTTTTTCAGGCCAGCCCACCTGCTCCCCTTCCAGATTCCAGACAGGAGACATGGCCATTTCCACATTAAAGGGGCAGGTTCCCAAATCTGTTGGATCGGAAGCTGTCCATGGGCCTGTTAGAGGGCTCTGGAAGGCCACCAGGGCTCACCTGTCTGGATGGCCTTCAGGGCTGAATCCTTTTCCCATTGGAAAAGATTTTTCACCCGAGCACCAAATTGTTCTCTGTTCACTGGCTTAGCCACATTCATCAGCTCTGCCCGCTTAGCAGGGATCGCTGGGCGGCTTGTATAACCTGGGAAGACAGGGGCTGAGTAACCAGGGGCCAGAGAAAGGACCTTAAGACTAAGAGGAGCCATAGGTAAGAGTAACCCAGCCCACCCCCCATAAGTCACAGACAGTGCTAGAGTCACAGGGACAGGGGGGAGGCAGGAACAATTACCACCAATTCTTTTCTCCTTCTTGCTCGCATGAGGCTCAGGCTTGGCTGCATGAGCAGTGTCATCACTAGTACCCACTATCAGCTCATCTTTCTCTGTTTCCTCCCACTTTGCAGATGTGTCCACGTTGTCCTGGGTGGAAGGTCCTGCAAAGGAGTACTTTGGAGAGTGCTCAGATTCAGGGACCTGGGTCCGAGGACCTGCATCAGAATAAAGCCTACGGGAAGACGCTGGGACATCCTTCTTTTGTGAGAGCTGAAGAGCGTTGTTTCGGACCTTAGAGATATGAATCTCATCTGTAGCGTCCTCCAACGGGATCTCGGTGATGGCTTTTTCTAGAGAGGTCACAGACTGGGGAGAATTTAAAAGGCTTTCAGAGGAACCCTGGGGCGATTCGGAAGGAAGCCTGGTGCTGTGGGACTTTAAAGTACTTCCAGAGACAGAAGGCTCCTGGAGGTCCTCAGAGGCCTCAGTCTCGGGGTTCGGTGAAATAGATGTCAGAAAAAGGACGTCGGCGGCAGGAGGCTGTGAAGATGTCTGTGAGCTGGAAAGCTCCAAGGGACTGTTAAGGCTAGTGGGCTCCCGTAAATCTTCAGCAGAGGGGTTCTTTAAAGAAGAGCGTTCCTTTGCATCCGTGGTGTCCTGAGGATCTTCTGTGGTCTCATTTGCTTCCATCTAGTGGCAGAATAAGGTACAGGCTTCATTAGGTTGAAGTTGGAGGGTCTGCAAGTCAGGGCAGAGCCCCAGGGTTCACAGACGTCACTGGATGAGGACAAAATTATTAGTGCACCTAAGACATCAGAGGGAAGAAAGAATAATTCTGGGTTTCAGGGTGCTGTGCCAGGAGGCTCACCCATGTGCCTCCCACAGCACACTACTGTAGGTTGGTAGGGAGCTGGAATTTAAAGATGGAAAGACAGAGCCGGGCGGTGGTGGCGCACGCCTTTAATCCCAGCACTTGGGAGGCAGAGCCAGGTGGATCTCCGTGAATTCAAGGCCAGTCTGGTCTACAGAGCAAGATCCAGGACATGCACCAAAACAACACAGAAAAACCCTGTCTCAAACAAAAAACAAAACCAAAAAACAAACAAAAGAAAAGAAGGAGGAGGAGAAGGAGGAGGAGGAGGAGGAGGAGGAAAGACAGATCAGTCAGAATCCCATCAGTAGCTGAGAGCAGAGGATCATGCCCCAGGAGGAGCCCCAACAAGCTACTTGGCCAATTCAAGGGTAGAGTCTGGAGCATGTCTTAGGACCCTGGAATTATAGCCATGGAGCGCCAGAGTCTGAAGATGAAGCCCGAGTTGGGGTTGGCCTCCAAGAGTGCAGGAGAATGTCGCAGCATGCATAGCAGGACTCTGTCTGTCCTCTGCTTTTGTCCAGGGACCACACACCTCCTTCCTTGGGCTCATTCATGTTCAAGGCTTCAACTACTTCCAGCTACATGCTCTCTCTCTCTCTCTCTCTCTCTCTCTCTCTCTCTCTCTCTCTCTCTCTCTCTCTCTCTCTCTCTCTTCTCTCTCTCCTTTCTCTTTTTTTCCCTCTCAAGACAAAGTCTTACTATATAGGCCAGGCTAGTTTTCTATGTAGCCCAGGTTGGTCTGAACTCCTCACAGGTCTCCTGCCTCAGACTCTTGAGGATGCTATTATAAAGGTGCCTCTCCATGCCTGGCTACCTTTGACTTCTAACTCCACATCTCTAACTCAGATTTCTTCATGCCCTGTGCTTCAGATGCTTCATGCAAGGTATTTCCGCCCAGATGTTCCACAGGCTTCAGAACTGACTCTGGAAATACACAAAACGCCCCAGTCTTCTTCCCTAGCACCCATCTGCAACTAGAACTACTTTCAATCTTCCAAATGCTCCCCAAGAGTATCCTTCCTCTCTATTCCCTCCAGTTTGTCCATGCTCTCATGATCTTCTTCCTATTGTATAATAACATTGCCTCTCCACTACCATCCCCGGTGTATTTTCCACTCAAGTCTTTCGTTTATGAAACTTACATTTTACAAACAACCAAAACCCACACTTTACTCAGGCACTGTGCTCAGCATTGAAACCAGGTGAGCTTGGGACAGAGACAACGTAACACACAGTGACAATATGAATGGCCTATCTCCAGGATGCTGTGAAAAGGGAGGATGCCTAATTTACCCTAGAAAGATCCAAGAGGGAAGCTCTCTTTCCCCTTTCAGCAAGATCTTTTGAACACACAAAACATTCTGACTGAGCCTAAAGGATTGCATTCAAGTTTCTTGGTCCTGACATTCAAGGTCTGTTACCATCACGCCTGACCTCCTTTGGGTGCTGAGGACTGAATGATGACCTTTGTATGTTAGCAGGTGCTCTATCACTGAGCTACACCCTCAACCCTTGGTTTTTTCAGACAGGGTCTCACTATATAGCCCTGGATGGCCTAGAATTTCCTGTGTAGACCAAGTTGGCTTTGAACTGGCAGCAATTCTCCTGCCTCTGCTTCCCAAGTACTGGGATTACAGGCCAGTGCCACCACTTGACCTCCCAAAACAGACTCTGTCATCATCGGTAAGTCCGCCGTCATCGGCAAGTGTTACCTGAGGGTTCTTGTGTCTCGCTGCTTCCTAGATTTCCCATGGGTCAGACAGTAACTAGCTTAAGATGTTACACCTTCAGCTCATTAGTGAGATGGCTCAGCAGAGGACCTGGGTTCAATTCCCAGCACCCATATGGCAGCTCACAACTGTCTGTAATTCCAGTCCCATGGGATCTGACCCTCTCTCCTGTCCTCCACAGGCACTGTACACAGTAGTGTACAGACATACATGCAAGCCAACACACCCACATACATAAAACAAAACTAAAGGTAAAAAACAAAGTAATTAAGCTCACTGCAGTCTTTCTAAAGGGAAGAGGCAGAGGTGGGATAATGCTGAAAAGTAGAGAATGAGTGGGTATTAGGAGGAAAATATGGAGTAAAGGGTTGGCGTGGAGGGCGGTGGAGAAACTACATACCTCTGGGCTTAGGCTTGGTAGTTACAAGTCCTTAGGTCAGGATCTTTACCTGGGTTGGAGGGGGAAGTATTGATCCTGACCGAGGGAATGAATGGCTTTGCTTTAGATGAGCCAGGTTGTAGTTGCTAAGTGAGAGGTCTCGTTGTGTGTTGGGGAGACTTGGGCATCTGCAGACCTTCGCAAAGGGACCCTGGCCCGATTTGAGGAAGAGTAGTAAAGGGAAGGGACAAGAGAGGTCCAGGGCCGATGAAGGATGTACTTGACTGAAGCCTCTGGAACCCAGGCCGGGAGGGGAGCGGGCATCGAGCTCCGGGGCAACCCGAACGCCCAGGAGTCTCCATGGCAACAGTAGTCTGGTCATCTGCGTGGGTGAGGTTTCCTGAGGGGGCAGCTTTGGATCTGGTTGGGACCCGGAGCTGTGCGAGTCTCTGTGTAGGCTGTGCAAACACAGGCGTGGGAGGAACCTGGTCTGAGAGGAGCCTGGTTTTGTGAGTTTCTGGAAGGTTCCTGTACCATTCCGGCGCTCCTCGGAAGCTGCGAGGACTTGAGAGGTCACCCGGGCTCAGGGGTTAGGGTGAGACCCGGGCTCTCAGGTAGGTAGCCCAGCAGGCTGAAGTTAGAGGCCAATAGAATTGGGTAGGGGAGGGCTTTGCTGAGAGCGACCAATGGAATGGGGCGCGGGGCGGAGCGCCAGGCTAGCGTCACGCCGAGGACGCCGCGGGGCCTGCTTATCGCCGGTTCAGCGCAGCCCGGAGTCGCCCAGGCCTGAAGTCCTCCCCAGGTCCCGGTCCCGACCCCGGGCCCGCGAGGACGCCGGAGGCCACCCCCCGGGGGTGGGGAGCGGAGCCGCGGGTCAGCTCTGCGAGCGTCCCGTGCTGGCCTGGCCGGCCCCGCCCCCGCCCCGGGCCATGGCCCAGCCCTTGTCCCGGCCCCTCATCCTATCCCAATCTCAGCCTTGGCCTCCGGCCACGCCCTCGCCCCACTTCCCAAACCTGCCCCGGCCTCGGCCGATGTCCCAGCGGATGCCCAGGTCCAGGTCCCCGCTCCAACCCCAGTCCCTGCCTCTGGCTTGGCCGCTATCCCCGCCTCGGCCCTCGTTCCACCCCTTGTCACAGTTCCCAGCCCAGCATCTGACCCTGTCCCATCCCCAGCGTTTGCTTAAGCCCCTGGCCCAGCCCCAGCCCTTGCTGCCGTCCCCATCACACCCACTCTTCCCACCACATCTTCTGCCCTTGTTTGAGCCCCAGTGCTCAGTCCAGCGCAGCCCGGTATCTCAGCCTCCGCCCCCATCTCTGTGTTTACCCAAGTCTCTTCCACTGGCTCCCCGCCTCTCTCATACTCTGCCCCTCTCCCAGCCTCGACTCAGGTCTGGGCTCCAGCTGCCGCCAGCCCTGTTGCTGCTGTTGCTGTTTTCTGTCCTTGGTCCAGGGGCTGGTGAGTGCAGAAACAGGAAAGATTAAGACAGGGATGGGGTTCCAGGGAGGGGTGGCTGGGAAAGAGTCAGGAGAGGTGGGACTTGGGGAGCTAGGTCACTGGGGAAGAAGTGGGGGCGGGGGTGGAGGGGATAGGAGAGAGAAGGGCTTACACCGGAGATGGATTGGCAGATTTCAAGAGTGGTGTTGCTCAGCTATTTCAGCAGGTGGCTAACAGTCCCCAAAAAGCTCTGGGAGATCTCAGTTCTTGGTGTCCCCTTGGGTCTGGCTTTCCATGGGAAGTCTCGGGGGCTTTACCCCCTTCTGCAAAGTTTTGTGGAGATGACATAGTCCTGTAGAATAGAAGCTTCGATTCTAGCCCCCAGACCGTGGCCTAAACTTTTGAGATACCAAACACACATTCAAAAAGGGTTTTAAAAACAGCGTTGAAGACAGTATGTTGCATCGCATAGATGGATGTGGGTTAGCTGCCGTTATAATGAGCTTTCTTGTGCTGGGTCTTTCCCCAAGTGAATGTCACTGGACTACAGATAATTCTTGATACTTTTAGAGCATGGCTGAACCTCAGCAGCACTCCACAGATGGGGAAACTGAGGCTCAGTGAGCGAGTAATTTGTTCAAAGTTGTAGTGTGTATAAATAGCAGTAGTGGGGCTAGAGAAGGGTTTCCTAACTCCTGTGACATCTGGTCAGCTCCCTCCCTCCCCTCCCTCCCTCTGACTACATTCCAGGTTGAAGGACTCCTCCATTGGCCCAAAGCATAGTCTCTTTCCTCCCTAGCCTGTCTGCAAGGAGGCTTGATTCATAAACTCTTTCTCACTTGTGAGGTGTCAACCCATATCCATCATGTAGCCTAGGAAGTAAGTCACTTGGTTGGGAGGAGTGGCCCAGCTTCTTAATGGCTGGAATGAGGAAGGGTGGGGTGGGGTGGGTGGGGGAATAGACTTTCACTGTTGACGGCAGTTCAGGCTGGGCACTTGCAGAAGCTGCTGGCAGTCAGGTTTTGGGTTTGATGAGGGGAGTTTGCACACACTCATGATTTAGGTGGTGGAAAAGCTCCTACATGTTATCACAGAAGGGGCGTCAGGGCAAGTTCGTTTAGACTTGGATGGGGCCTTGCTCATGCCTCCTCTGGGACATGGTAGGCCCTGTTCAAATCCCAAATCAAAGAGTGAGGTGAATAGGGCTGTTTCCCAAGGATCCACCTCACCTCCAAACTCCTTCTGAGTTCCTCCCAAAGCTCCAAGCTGCTACTACTCCTTTTCTTACAGGCACATCCTGTGGCACCCCACCACCCCCATAGCCACTGTTTCTTGGGGTCGGCTTCGGCAGTTGCATGATTCTCCAGGCCAAACAAGCTCTTTGTGCTCCCCTGGTGCTTAGCTTTAGAAGGAGCGGCCCTTCCCTAACCCCAGCAGAGGGCACTCCAGAGCTCTTCTTTCCGGTAACAATAGGATTCAAGGCTGTTGAGTTTGGGGCCTCCTGGAGGCAGAGCTCCTAGGAAGCTGTCTTCTCCATTGGTTAGTCCCAGTGCACTTCATCTGCCGTGGAGACCCACCCCCACCCCCCACCCCCGCCCCCGCTACTGTCTGAGTGCAGTCCCGAGCCTCTCTAGGATGCCGGGCAGTGCTCAGCTTGCAAGTAGGCAGTTTTCCTTACTGAAATTGATCATCTGGTTGGCACAGCAGAGTCTAATCCTTTGGAGCTGTCATGGCCTTTGAGCCGTTCTGGCCAGTGGCTTCCACTTGTGTAAGGTACCTCTTGAGTGTGCCCATTTTAGTGTGGCCAGCCTACCCTCCTTGGGCAGTCACCTTTTTCCTGATGCCCCATGTCTCTGCTACTTTAAATACCTCATTTTTGGGGGTCATGACTCCCATCTCCAGAGGCAGAGATCATCAGATTAGGTAAGCCCTATGGGTATTTCCTGTGTAGCTGAAGTTTCCAGAACCCTCCCTCCAACCTCTACTGTGTCTTGAAGACGCTTGAGTTTCCCCAGCTTTCCACCTGTCCAGGGACGTATTCCTGGGCTTCTTTGGAACTGTTTTGAAATCCAGAGAGAGGCAGGGAGGAGGGAGGGATAACAGGCCATGAGAGCTTTATATGGGGACACGGCCTGCATTTTAGAGCCACCTTCTCCTAATTACCTTCACTGCTCTGACACTCCTGACCCTTTGTGCTTGTCTGGCTAGGGCCTGTGACTTCTGCTCACCCTGGCTCTGCTCCTGACAGCTGTGATCAGGGATCTGAGCATTTCAGCTAGAGTCCCCCCCCCCCCCCCCCACAACCTGGTCTAGTCCAAATATTCCCAAGTGATTTAGGGTGCCACTGAGTCACCGAGTGACTGCCTTCCAGGACCTCCTCCTGGGAGAACACCCTGGCTGCTAATTTTGGCCCTCGAGGTTCTGATCGCTCTCCTCTCTTGGGCACTGTCGTGGTGGCCTGCCAGCTCCTGTTCTTGACTCTGCCACCCAAGCAGCTCCCTGGCAGCCTCACCACACCTTCCCCTCCCCTCCTCTGCCCTGAGCTAGTGTACAGACAGCTCTTGTGAAGCTTCTGAGAATTTTTACTGCTCCTAACCGCTGGGGACTAGAGAAGGGCAGAAAACAAACACGTTACACAGTTCTGTGCTGACTCCCAAGCCTCACAGGTGGAGTTCTAGCTTGCCCAGTGGCTTAAGAGCCTATGCCAACACACACACACACACACACACACACACACACACACGCACACGCACACGCACACGCACACTCTCGCACACTGTTTTGTTAGGCTTGGTGAGAGGAGAATAATACCCCCTAAGTGAGTGAGCATGAAGTTGTATGAAGGGTCCTGGGTTTAAGTTCTCAGTTTTCCGGTTTTTGCCATAGGAATTTTTTTAAGAACAAGGTTTTGTGGGGATAAACCGGATACTGGCTAGGGTAGCACAAGCCCCAGCTCCTGGCTGCTGGGGAGCGCTTGTTGACTTGGTATGCAGTCAGTGAGAAAAATGGGCTTGCCTGCTACCTCCTGGAGATGCCTCTGTCCCCGCCTTCTGCTGACTTCCTTCTGCTTCCCAGGAGGCCTTTTCCTGACGGATTACTCCACCTGCTCACCCCGAAAGCTCAGCCCATTCCGCTCCTTTGCCAGCACGGAGCTCTTCCACTTCCATGTTCCTGAGGACACGTTCCTGGCTGTTTGGAACCTCATTATCTTCAAGGAGCAGGGAGGAACTTTTGGGGACCACTGCCCAGATCAAAGTGTAACTGTGTGAGTGTTTGACCTACCCTTCTGTAACCCCAATTTCCAGCCCTACTTACTTTCCAAACTGTAGTATGACTTTTTGAGGTCTAAACATGCCTCCTGACCTGACCCTGACACTTATCCAGGTTGAAGTGTGACTGGGAGCCATGACCTCTGTCACCTGGTCACTTGTAACTACTATGAGTGCCTGAGCTGACCTATTGCCCATTATGAACTTGACCCTTGACCTGGAACCATTTTGTGGTATATGTCAGTATAGGGAATCCATTTGTTTACTAGTGATGAATAGCAGTTCTTTTTTTAACCCCCATTTCCTAATTGCTACCCCACTGCCTGCTTTTCTCTCTTCCTAATTCTCATCCCCCAGGTACTTCCGCTCTGGAGCACCTCCTGTCATCAATCCCCTGCATACACACTTTCCATCAGACACAGCTGTGCCTGGGGTTTTCTCACTCACCCTCAGCTGGACGCTGCCCAACAGAACCTCAGGCATCTTTAACGTCAGCAGCCCCTTACCTGGGGACTGGTTCTTGGCTGCCCACCTTCCCCAAGCCCATGGCCACATCTCTGTCAAGGTGGGTTGACGCTGCCTGGGACAGGAGGGGTCATACTTTCCCTTCCATCCCTGCTGGGTGCTCACTGGCATCATAGCCTTGTTAGCAGAAAGAGCAGCAGCACCAGAATGCCTGGGGTGGGGCCCTGTTACAGGCCAGCAGGTTAACTTGTGGGATGGCCTGATGTAGGAAACTGATTCCAGGTAGGTTGGAGAGAAACTACGGAGACTGGATTAAAGCCCTGGAGCTGGGCAGTGTATCCTTTCCTATCAGAGGGCGCTAAGGTTAGTGAAAGTAGTCACAAGCTGTCTGGGCCAGTGGAATCTGCTGTACAAGCCCAGCACTGGTTTTCTTTCTTTATTTTGGTTGATAATAGCCTTGAAATTTCTCTCAGGCCACATTCTTGTCTCTATCGCAGTGCATCCCAGGTC